CGCCGGAGACACAGAGACTAGACCGAAACTCCTCGAAGACTGGGGTCGGTAGTCCCTTAGTCATGACATCGGCAAACTGCTGAGTGGTAGGAACGTGCAGAACACGAACCTTCCCGAGAGCCACCTGCTCGCGAACGAAGTGAATGTCGAGCTCAATATGCTTCGTACGGCGATGATGGACGGGGTTGGCGGAGAGGTAGACGGCGGAGACGTTGTCACAGTAGACGATCATGGCCTTGGGGACCACACAAAGCAACTCCTTTAGAAGCTGACGGAGCCAAGAGCACTCAGCAACGGCGTTAGCCACTGCCCGATACTCCGCCTCGGCACTCGAGCGAGAGACCGTGGGCTGCCGCTTGGACGACCACGATATCAGCGAGGGCCCGAGGTAGACACTAGCCTAATGTAGAGCGACGTGTGTCCGGGCAGCCAGCCCAATCAGCGTCGGAGTAGGCGACCATGTTGATGGAGGAGGAAGCCGCCAGGGAGAGTTCCATGGTCATAGTGTCGCGTATATACCGAAGAATACGCTTCACCAGAGTCCAATGAGAATCGCATGGGGAGTGCATGTGAAGGCACACCTACTGGACTGCATACTCCAAGTCAGGCCGAGTGAGGGTGAGATACTATAGAGCGCCGACGATGGAGCGGTAGGACGCCGCATCTGGCACAGGGGAACCCTCCAAAGCAGAAACCTTCGCCTTGGTGTCAACAGGTGTGGACGCGGTTTTGCAATTAAGCATACCAGCGCGCTCGAGAAGCTCATGAGCGTACTTCTGCTGATGCAGAAAGAACCCATCGGCACGGCTAACGACCTCAATGCCAAGGAAGTAGTGCAGCGCTCCAAGATCCTTGAGGGCAAACTCATCGCGAGACGAGCCGTGAGCTGCTGAAGAAGCCCAGACGAGGATGCCGTCAGGATAATGTCCTCCACATAAAGCAGCAGGTACGCAATGGCAGTGCCCTGATGATAGACGAACAGAGACGCGTCGGAGCGGGTTGTGTGAAACCCAAGCTCCTGTAGGAACCCGGCCCTACGCTGGTACCACGCCCTGGGGGCCTGCTTCAGTCCATAGAGGGACGGAGAGAGCAGGCAGACATGGTCGGGGTGCTCAGCGTCGACGAAGCCAGTCGGCTGCTCGCAGAAGACCCGTTCCGTGAGGTGGCCGTGCAGAAACGCGTTGGAGACATCCAACTAATGCACTGGCCAGTCACGAGAAACTGCCAGCTGAAGCACCGTACGAATCGTGCCCGGTTTAATGACCGGGGCAAAGGTGTCGGTGAAGTCCACGCCGGCGCGCTGGCGGAAACCGCGCACCATCCAATGAGCCTTGTAGCGCTCGAGAGAACCGCCGGGGTTGGTCTTGTGACGAAACACCCATTTTCCACTAATGACGTTGGCGTGATGGGGTCGCGACACATGATGCCACGTGCGGTTGCGCTGCAACGCATCAAACTCCTCGCGCATCGCGGCAAGCCAATGTGGATCACGAAGGGCGGCGCGTGCAGACGAGGGGATGGGCGACGGTGGAGAGGATGATGTCGACACTGCGCACGCGTACTCATCAGCACCGTAGCGCGTGCTAAGGCGGTAGATACCGGCGCGGGACCACGTCACCATGCCAGCGGGAGGCGGGTCGGCTGTGGTAGGAGCGACAGACGGAGGTGATGAAGAGTTCGCCGCCCCCGGCATCGTAGCGGGACCAGGGCCGGCCGAAGCAGCGGGGGCCAGCCGGGGTGGTGGAGCAGGCCGGGGCGGCGCTAGCCGTGCCACTCGGCAGAGTGGGAGCCTAAGGGCCACTCGGGGCCATGCATGGTCGCGCCGGGGCCGAGGCCGAGGGACCGGCTGTCGGGGCCGCAGGGGCCGCAACAGAGGGGCCAGCCGCGGGAGGGCGCGCCGAGGCCGCACCGGGAGGAGCCAGCGGGAGCCGCGCCAGGGCCAGGAGGGGACACACCGGGGGCTGCACCGGGTCCGCATCCGAGACACCATCATGGGGCACCGAGTCCTCTACAAAAGGCGGTACCCAGTAAAAGGGAAAAACCCGCCCATCAAAGTACACGTGTCGGGAGGTATACACGCGGTGGGAGACGGGGTCGTAGCATCGATAACCTTTGGTGTTAGGGGGGTAGCCTAGTAAGATACAAGCTACGGAGCGAGGAGCGAGTTTGTGTGGTGTAGTGGAGGCAGTGCTAGGATAACACAAACAACCGAAGATGCGGAGACCATCATAGGATGGAGGGGAACCGAAGAGAAGTTGGTGTGGGGTGTAGTTCCAGCGAGGACGACGAGGCCTAATGTTAACTAGGAGAGTGGCGGTGGCGAGTGCATCGGGCCAGAACCGAGGGGGCACATTGGAGTGGAACAACAACGTGCAGACGCAATCGTTAAGAGTGCGGAGGATCCGCTCGGCGTGGCCGTTCTGCTGGGATGTGTACGGGCATGTGAGATGAAAGGTAGTGCCGTGAGATGCGAGAAGGTGACGGGTGGCAGCATTGTCAAACTTTTTTCCGTTGTCAGTCTGGAGGGCGAGAATAGGGGGCCCGAACTGGGTGGTGATGTGGGAGTAAAAGGTCGTGAGAGTGGCGAGAACATCGGATTTGCGACAGAGCGGAAACGTCCACGCAAAATGAGAGAAATCATCAAGTAAAATAAGGTAATATAAGAAGCCCGTGTTGCTCGCAACGGAAGATGTCCAAACATCACTGTGGATTAACTGAAACAAAAAAGAAGAAATAATGTTTGACTCGCTAAACGGTCGACGAACATGTTTACCGAGACGGCAAGCATGACAGGTGTGCTCGTCGAATTTATTACATGAAAATGAAAAACTCTTGAGAATCTGGCGAAGGACGGTGGAGTTGGGGTGACCCAAGCGTGCATGCCAAAGGTCGACACCGGCGGAGAGGGCGACTGGAGAGGCAGTGGCGATGGCGGTGGAGGCAGAATGCACCGGGTATAGGTCATCGGGGTCGTCACATTGGTGGAGCACCATCCGTGTACGGGCGTCCTTCACAGAGAAACCAAGACCATCAAATTCAACAGTGAGAGGATTGTCACGTGCAAGACGATGAACGGAGACAAGGTTTTTAACTAGGTTAGGTGAGACAAGAACATTAGTCATGTTAATAGGCATAGAATTAGACGGAAAGAAACTGTGACCGACATGAGTAATGGGTATGGAGGAACCATCACCGAAGGTGATGCGGTTTGAGGTGGTGACTGGGAAGGAAGAGGCAAGGTTACCGGGGTGCGACGTCATGTGGGCGGTAGCCCCCATGTCCATGTACCAATCACCGCCACCTCCGTAGTTGGAGGGAGACGGCGCCGAGTGCAGCGCAGCGAGCAGGGCGGGATCCCAAGGGGCCGGAGGGAGCTAAGCCGGCACGGGCGGCAGTGCGTAGCCGAAGGAGGCGGGCACCGGAAGGGGCGCGTAGCCACCCGGGGCATAGCCGCCTGGTGTGTAGCCGCCCGGTGCGTAGCCGCCCCCACCCGCCTGGTGAGGTGCGGCGGCGAGGTGCACCTAAGGCCCCGCCGAGTGTGGCCCGAGGATGCCCGGAGCCCGTGGGACCGGCATGTGGTAAGCGTGGACCACGTCGGTCCACG